ATTAAAATGAGAACAGAAAGTACAAAAATATGGAATGTACAATTCTGGTTCCTCAGTGGGGAAAAATTAATAGAGCTAGAGAATGCTCAAGACATTGTGCACATCAAGCCCATGGATAGGAATTAGACAGGGAATAGCTTTTTAACCACACTTTAGAAATAAAGAGAACCATTAACATTTGGATAAAAGAAACTTAGAACAATTAAAAGTACCAAGTTTTGAAGAAAGCAAATTTATAGATCTTATTACTCCAAGGTAACAGATAGGAAAACAATGGAAGAACTGAATGCCCCTAGTGGCATTCTTGCCGTAAATTCTGGACAAGACAATGAGTGAATTAAATTCAAACACTGATAAAAGCATTCTCAAATATCACACTTCCACATTTGACCAATGTGTTCAGAAATGTTCTAGGACTTGGTTCACATTACTTATTAGATTTTGTCTCCATTAACCCTTAAAACTCTCTTATCAGAAATGTTAAGAAAATAAATAGCTACTTAATAATCAGAATGTTTCTTAAACCAAATGAAACTCAGGTCCTCTGCCCATTTTTAACTGGATTATTTGGGGATTTTTGTTAAGTTATATGAGTTCTTCACATATTTTGGATATCGGGCCCTCATTAGAGGTACTGTTTGTGAATATTTTCTTCCATTCAGTTGGTTGCCTTTTTATTTTGTTGATTGTTTCTTGAGACATTTCTCCCAAGAAGACACACAAATGGCTAACAGAAACATGAAAAGATGCTTCACTCCATTAGCTATAAGGGAAATGCAAATCAAAACCACAGTCAGATACCACCTCACACCTGTTAGAATGATTTTTATCCTTTATCGTGTGTTGGAAGTAAAGAGTGCTAGAGAACATGGAACCCTCATATATCGCTGGTGATAATGTAAATTGGTACAGCCACTATGGAAAAAACAGTATGGAGATTCCTCAAAAAATTAAGACTAGAGCTACCATGTGAGCCAGCAATCCCTTTTCTAGGTATCTGCCTAAAAAACTTAAAAACATTTATTAGTAAATATATATGTACCCCTACATTCAGTGCAGCATCATTCACGGCGGCCAAGACATTGAGTGTCCTTTGATGGATGCCTGGGTAAAGAAGATGTGGTACATGCACACAATGGAATACTACTCAGCCATAAGCAAAGATGAAATACTGCATTTGCAACAACATGGATGGATCTTGAGAATATCATGCTAAGTGAAATAAGTGAGACAGAAAAAGACAAGAACCATATGATTTCACTCACATGTGGAATATAATACAGAAAGCAACAAAATAACAAAAACAAACAAAAAACTCATAGACACAGACAACTGTATGGTGGTTACCAGAGTAGATGGGGGTGGGGGAGGTAGAGGGTAAAGGGGGTCAAATATATTGTGATTGAAGGAGACTTGAATTTGGGTAGTGAACACAATGCAATATATAGATGATGTATTATAGAATTGCAGTTGAAGCATATAATCTTGTTAACAAATGTCACCCCAATAAATTTAATAAAATTAAATAAAAGAGAAACTCCCCTCATTGTGTACGTTAGTCTGTCTGGGTCTATATGAATAAACTTAATATTTCTGGCCAAGCTGAGCTACTAAATCACACCTTAAACCTTGCCCACAGTCTGGAAAAAAATCATGGCTCCTGTCCAGGGGCTGGCCAACATCTCTCTGTCACTGGCTCACTGGCCCAAGACAGGAAAATACTTTGTTACACTACTGGTTCCACATGAAACCGCATAGCTGCAGCTCTCCAGATACCAGGTACAGCTGGTACAGCTGAATAAGAGTTCTCATGCTTTGTACCCAGTTTTTCAGTATCCAAAATCCTCTTGGCCATATGAAGCTCAGTTGTTTAGATCTTACCCTGACCTTCCTAAAAACCAGATGACAATTTGGTCATGTGAAAGAACCCTGGTCACTTATAGTTCACAAGTTTCTCACATTTTAATATTGTTAATATTTAAAGTTTAAAACACTATGGCAATTTTTTTTTTAAAGTACTACTTAATAATATTTTCCTTTTTTGGTTTTAATTATCTATTTTCTTTCCTTTTATCTTTATATATAAACGTATGCTGTTTTTACGCTGAAGGTTAATCTGTGATCCAATTCTTGTGAATGAAAAACATATGCCAAGTGTAGAATGTCTGATACAATTTTTCAAAGAAACTTCTAAGTTAACATTTAACAGATAATATTTTCTCACTGATAAAAGAATTTCTTTTCTATGATAACCGTGATTTAGAAACAACTGCAAGTTCTTTTCGTTGCAGCAACTAATTTCCAGGGTCTGAATTTAAAAACATACTTTTAAAAATCCTTTTCAGAAAGAAAACCATTAGAAAACCTCTTGAATTGCCCCTGAAAATCATGAATGACTGATTCTTTCATTATTAGCAATAAAACTGAGACTAAGTGAATTTTTAAAATACCTACTTAGCATAAATTATTAAAAATATTAATGCAAACTATATTTTTGGAGTTCCTGAAATTTACTCTTACTAGATATGCAAATTTATTTATAACGACATTTGCAAAATTGACACAACTTTTATACATGCTTAGTATTTTAAAAGTGCAAAATTTGTCTTTTTCTTATTTTTCAGTAGTAACATTTATGTCTACCCACAGAAAAATTTATAATTTTTAAATATAACATTTACATTTAAAGCTGTATCTAAGATTTCATTATACTGGTAAAGAAATAAGTCCACAGCTATGCATTCTTTTAAAAGACCATTCATTCAGCACTTTATATATTCTGTTCAATGAGTGAAAATCATAGAAACTTCAATTTTTTACCAATGAAAATTTCATCATAGAAAGGCGTTAGAAATACACTGTAAATATTTATACAAAAGGCCTAACTTTAGAAATGGATAATAGATATTATTTAAATGACTATTGCAGAGGCATTTTTAAAGAAGGAAAAAATAATATAAAACTTCAAATAGATTTATATTATATATAATTTAACCTGACTTTCACTTTTCTAACTTGGGGGCAAAAATAATAGCTTCATTAAAAGCCTTATTTTTAAATGACTAAAGTAACCCTAGAATACTATCATCATTTCAATTTTGTACTTAATACTATTTTATGTCAGCTTTAGGGAAGACTGAAAGTTATTTCATTACATAGCTCCTGGTAATATACTTCAGACTGCTCTTTAACAATGGGAGACACAAATATATGTGTACTTTTACCACCCCACCACCAGATTGCCTAAACTCTTACGTACTCTGAAATATGCATAATGTTCTCCACTCTACAAAATGTTATAAAGAAAGCACAATCATTGAATTCCAGAAATTGTAGGCAACAGTATAAAATTCCCATTATCATAAGCAGGACATAGCAAAGAGAGAACCTCTATCTTCACAATATTATAAATTATGTCTAAATTTTAAAAATCACATATATATGTGTGTAAATATGGAGACACATATGCACTTCACATTTAGTTCATGGGAATGTAGTTGATTAAGTTTCACTTCAGGACATCATCTTGCCTGTCTGTGACCTTTTTTCCTGCAAGGGACTTCTTTCAATAACTAGGCTTTATGCTCACTCAATCTTTTATGTTTGGGAAGATGCTTTCTTGACAGGACATGATAGACCAAATTATTTAAACATGCAAACAGTGGGTAAGAGTTTTATCACCACTTGCAGAAGAGAGGTGTTTAGTTTTGTTTTGAACAAGAAACAAATCCTTTTAAAGCCGATTGATCTTAACTGTAGACTTCTTTCCAGAATCAATGAACAGGTGAGAAGATATTTTGAAGGAAATGAATTTACTTTTCTAATAAAAGTTGGATGCTATGTACAAACACTGTGCAAGGCAGCAGAGTGAAATTACATGACATAAGCAGTCACTTATACTACTTACATATAGGGTTGGCCATAAATCCTGTCACAATATACTTCCTGAGCTGACTTACATTTCGCCTTGTCTTACACTGCAATCTAGTAGCTTCAAGGACTAAGTATAAGCAGCTATCTGAAGACAATACATTTTCAGAATTCTTGCGTAAACAAGACAATAAAAGGAAAGAAAAAACTAAACTATGTTGTTTAGTCTATTTTAGGAGTAGTTTGATGAAGATTAGATAACATGAGACACTGGAGAGGGAGACAGAAGAGAAGAGCTACAGTTGAAAGTTATCTTTTTAACAGCTCATTGGTAATAATGGACTTCACCTGGATGCCTAGATGAAGCACAGCTTAAAACTGATAACATTGGGTTCTGTTTGTTCCACATTAAACCTCATAATGTTAAGTAAAAAAACAAATGGTGATAAAAATCACTGCACTGACTATTTGTTGAAATAAATTGAGTCTTATTACTTTAGAAATACAGCATGAGTTCATGTTTGTACTTCAAACATGACATCACAGGAATAATATATAAATTAATGTTTTCTGAAATCAGATATCACAGAAAGGACCAAAATGTTCCAATACCAGGCTATAGTTTAAAAATGATACTTCTCTAAAACTTCTGAACACTTTTTTTCTACTTTTTTAGAAACTCCCTAGATAAAGTAGGAAAGCAACAGCAATGTCAAGAATCAATACTATTGATTAAATAGGTTGAAAAAATTTTTCTCAGTAACTAGAAAATATATTGTAACCTAACTCATACACTCATACTTGGAATGGTAAACTCTCAAGTTCCAAAAAGTTTTAACTTTAGGTGCAATCCATTAGTAGGACATACAAGTATTTACATATTCTAATGATGTCTTTATTCTTATTTTTAGAGTCAATACATGGAGAAGAAATTTATGAGTTATTAAAACTCTTTAAAATACCAAATGACACCACAAAGCAAGTTCACACTTTTGTGTTAGTTACTGCAATAGCTATATATTTCAAAAAGTTACCTATCTGACAAATTGTATGCAGGTAACCATCTGATGATCTGGTATGTACATGATTCAATTCGTCAATAGTTAAATTTAATGAAGAAGCTAACTTACCGGTGGATCAGCCCCCTTAGAACCAGTCAGACCTCCTGTTAAGGACTCGATATCCTGAAAAGGGGAGAGGTGTTGATTGTAAAATGCTACTCAATGGCATGGAGAACTTCCCAGTCCCACAGTGTGTAATATTTTCTTTAAACTACAAACTTAGGTAACTCAGCTACATTTGTTTTGTTTTTAGACCATCTTGCTATACAAATACGATACAAATAGCCTATATCTAAAATTTTAGATTTTCCCCCAACTCTGTACAATCTGTAAAAACAAAATATATAAATAGACTAAGTATTTCTGAAATATGCAAAAAACAAGCTCTAGGTGGAAGAGCAGATTTTTTTTTTTCCCCCTCCGAGAAGCTGAAGTGCAAAAATGAGATGAAAAAATTTAATGAAACTGCAATTTAATATATCATTTGCAAGAATACTAGTCGCACAGAAAGTGCTGAGCCTACAGAAATTTTTCAATTACCTATAGTCCATCCGTTACTATACATGATAGGGGTACAAGGGTAGAATAAAAATATTTTCTTTTTCCTCCCCTTCTCTTCCTTTCTCTTTCCTTTCCCTCCCTTTTGTTAACAGAACGTGTCAGTCATTGATTAATCAACTGTATATATTTAACCTTATGTTCAGGCTAAGATTTTGTTGCCGTTCTCAGTTGACCAGGCAAGAACAAAGAGACTCTAACCCAGCCCTGAACTTACAGGCCCGGCCACCAGGACTGCAGAGGGTGCTCCACTAGGCCTCAGAAACATGGGATGGTGCATGCTCGGTCACTGCTGACCCTTTTCAGAAGGCTGGCCATCCTGCTCCGGGGACCAGTAATGAAGACCTTCATCAAGACCCCAGACACCCACAGGGACTCAACTTCCAGGACTGCGAACCGCCAGGACCCCCTCTGCACTCCCTACCCACATGCGCTTCCCCGATGCCCCTGTATAAGATTTCACTTAACAAGCTTAGGGTGAGTTGGATGTTAGAGTTTTTACCCATCGCCTTCCCAGATTTCAGGCATCTGATATTATTAAAAGTGCACTTGCAATCCATTCCCTCTCTGCTTTTTGGCTGGGTGGGGACAGGTGGCAGGAGTGCTGGACTTGGTTGACGTCCGGTTTCATACAGAGGTGAAAATGTAAACAGATATGGGTGGATTAGCTATTCTTTCACAAGGACCAACTTTTAATCTTGAATCAGTAATCACAGAAGGTCGAGCCTGTGTAATGACTATGATCCTCACAGGCAGTCCCAATGGAGAAATGAGTGACGCTGTGACAGACTGGAGGGCGTGAGTGCTGTTGACAGGGACAAGTGTATCTCAGCCTGATCACGGCAGGGATTTGGTTCCAGGGTTACTAATCATGCGGCTTCTTCAAAAGGAGCTAAAGTTTTTCTAGAGTTTTAAGGAAAATCTCTCAGGATTTTAATGTTTGCAATTTCTTTTTAATTTTTAAATCATGTCCCCACACCTTCAAAATGAAAAGACAAACGAAAAAACTATCTGCTCAAAGGCTGCTGGATAGGAGTCTGGGGAGGCCTTGAGGAGGTACAGTATTTGCTAAAACGTTTCTTCCATGTGAACCTGGTCACTTCTTATACGTTTGCACCTCATATGTACAGGGTTGAGGAACCTGGGGAAATATTGTTGTATTTAAAAAATCAAATGAAAGATAACGGAGTAAAGATAGAAAAGAAAATTAGATACGTATGATCAGAGAAACAGCCAACACCACCTTGATATCATTAAGAAGATTTCTATTACTGGTACACTTGGAGCTTAATCGCATCATTTCCCTGGTTATCTCAAAAGTGGGGCATCTTAAAAAATAAGGGTATGTGAAGAAAACATTGACAACAGGAGAGAAGGGATAGCGTGATTCATGTTTCCATTGGAAGCTGACTTTGAATGGAAACTCAATGGGTGATGAAGTTTTACATGCATATTTTATTAGGGCCATAAATGACCAAAAAAAAAACACAAAGGATGCTGACCAAAAAAATTATTACATTGTCTTGTCTGTAATTCATATATTGTATATGTTTTCCTATCCAGCATCCCTTTGGAGAACTTCTTGCACTCCCCCAACTGTAGCTCCAAAAAAAGGCTTATAAAAATTGCTTCAAATGTTGTAGGAGCCTGCCAGAGAATTAAGGCAATTTGGGTTCTGGAAGGTGTCATGTATAGTCTAAGTCCTTGATTTTATCGCTTAAGCAATGTTTGAAATGAAATATTCTCCCTCCCTTTAACTTTTACATCATTTCTGGCTCTTGAAAACTAAAGGATCCTAATTAATATGCCTGCATTGTTCAGTCTATTTTTAAAAAGCTACCCCTTTCCATCCTGTTAAAATTCTTTATTCCAATACCATGCACACTATAAACAATCAAATCACTTAAATTATTAGATCTTACATATTCCCTGACATTTCTATTATCTGTGTAAAAGTAAAGTATCAAACATATAAGTTGGCAAACAAAATTAATATTCCTTTTGAATTCAAAGTTAACATATAATTTTTAAAACTGTTTCAGAGTTTTATGGAATGAACTGACAAGATTTGGCAGTAAAATGGCTAAACTATTAGGTTAACAGAAAACAGAACACACAACCCATTTTCCTGTTATGACCATGACAAAAACAAAGTTCTAATTCTATTCCTATGAAAGGCTTCTTGCGAGTACATTTAAAATGAAAGAAAAAAAAAAAGTTAAGTTCATGTTGAATTAATACCTTCTGTTCTTCATAGAAAGGCATATAATTTAAATTAACAATAGAATTTCTGATAGTATTACCAGAAATAATGGAGAAATTGATTCAGGTTAAAAAAGTATTTTAGCAGTTTAGTTGATGCATTTTGTCAAGTTCCATCATAAATTTCTTGCTATCATAGGTAAATTGGGCAAATTTTCAGGTTTCTAAAATCTTAAGCTTTTCACAATAGGCATGGTCCTGAGGAAAATAAAGCAAAAGTAGAATTTAGAAAATGAATGGAAATGGTTTATGGTTTTTAACATGTTGAATTAAAGCAAATTATGAACTCATGGCTCTAAAAAGAGTATAGATGTACATTTTTATTACATTTACTTGTTTAATTGAAAAAGTTTTTTGAGCTTATGTTCTATTTTGAGTATAAGTTGGAAAAGAGTGTTTTACTTGGACAGACACCTATGTTAAACATGTCTTATCTCCCCATAAAAAAAAAATTCAGGTATGAATGAGCATAATTGTGCATAAAGGCATTTATGTGGTAAAATTAATAGGTGAATAAATAAATCATTTGAGAAGCTCTGAACATAATTAAAAGTGGATCGATCTTTTTGATGGCTATTGAATATTTTATCTACAAAATATAACCGAAACTCTTGACAAATGTATCTATCTTGTTATTTAAATGTCTTTTTTAATGTCTTTTTATATAGATAACAAAAGGGGACATCAAAAAAAGTAAATACATTGATATCCTAGAAGTTTTTAAAGTAACTACTGTAATAATATTTGTTTGCTTAAAAAATTCAAGACAAACTTTGACTATTTTTACCAGGTTACAGAATTTATTTAACTATAGACATCATGCTGTAGATTTAATAGTTAATAAAGTAGCTACCACTTACTGAGCATTTACTCCATGCCAGGCATGCTCTTTAAATGCTTTATACATATTATAAACAGCCTCATAAGGTGGTTATAGCAGCCTTACATGTTAGTTTTTTATTTTCTCACTTAACAGGTTTAAAGTTTATATAATACACCCAGTATCACACAGCTACTAAGAAGTGGGGTAACAAAACACATTTGCGTGACACAGGACCTGTGTTCTTAATGCTAGTTGTAAAGCAGCAGCTTCCCCCTGGTGTCCCGGTGACGTGGCCCATGCCCACAGGCGGGTGGAATCCCCTGTGAGCCACCCAAGAACGGGCCAGGGTGGCAGTCCAGGGAGAACTTCCACGTGGCTGCTGATCCTTGGCACCGGAGGCATGGAACTTTCTACCTCACTTTTCCCCAAACCACAGCCACCTGCAGGCTATAAAACTGCTTAGGTGCAATATGCAAGTGGCCCTTGCCAACAGAGCAGCCCCCCACTCCTACTGTTTAGCATCGGACGCATCCAACTCAGAGTAGTCCTGTGGGACTAGGGACCGGGGCCAGGATTAGAGTGAGGCAAGGGATGTCTTAAGGGTGTAAAATTCAAGGAGACACTCATTCTGAGGGTCATACAAGTGCTGACCCTGCACTGACAGGATCCCGAGATTTAGTGCCTCCTTAAATAGGGTGCCCCAGCAACCTCATTTTGAGAGTCCTGCAAGAATGGGTTTGGCAGTTAGACAAACTTGAAAGTGTGTGACTTCTTAGACTTTGTGCCCTGAACTCCTTACTTGGCTCATCCTAGTCCTGGCTCTTCTAGGGACGTGGAGAGCAGATACCACCATGACTTTATTTATGCTGTATATGTAATAAACTCTTTAAATCTATTTGGACTCACTGTCTCCTTCCCAGCTGAATTTACAGAAGTGTGGCAAGACAGCCTGGCACCTTCCTGCACGTTGCTGCTCATGGACTGCTTGCTGCTTAATACCAGTAATACATAGCCTCTCTTATATGAACTATCACACCTATGCAGAAAAAAACACAACAAACCAGGACCTATTAATTATATAATCAACTTTATTTCTTGAAAAGAAATTTCAGGTAATGAAAGTTTCACTTCTCTCTCCAAGGTGTCAAATACCTAAGCGAGGTTGTTAGCCAGTCCTTTACACAAGTCGTATAGAGTCTGTCTCGTTTAGTATTGGGCAGCTCAGCTCCTGGGATGGAAACCTGGTAATCAAAGGCTAACCTGTCCATCAGAAGCCTTAAAGCTTCAGAAGGCTGACCAGCAGGTGGAGTGAGGCAACCAGTGTCAGAGCTGTAATCAGAGTGAAATTGGAGGGCATCCTGGAGCCTGGGTATCACCTCAGTACAGGTTTCAAATAAACCCCACATTATGCTGAACTGATGCTACTGGTTTTCCAACAGCACCCCCTCCCCATGGCCCTGTGCTCCAAGAGTTAACATAA